GGCACCAGTAATTTATCTTCTCTTTAGCAGGAAATTGAAACCTGCTTAGTCTTGATTACACTGGCCATAAACATGTTGCAAATTGTAACATTCCATTGCCATTCATTTTATTTTGGGGTAATATAAATCACTGGGTCATCCACTTCCCTTTGACATTTAGTAATTCTCTTTCACTATAAAATTCCGTTTTCCTTTGCTTTGTGTTAGAACCCACCCACATTAACTGCACAAAAAAAAAAATTAAAAATTTCAGCCAGTGCCGAAATGTTTCTTTGCAGATGACTCACATTGTCACACACCAGCTCCTACAACCTGATGTAGAGAAAATGTTTCATCTAAGTTTCCAGTGTTCAATATAATAGAGCAAGAGGAGTTTTGATCTGTAACTGAAACCGGCATGCCTCCAGTTCACTGTTGCCATTAAGGAGAGTGATAGAAAGTGCATCAGTTGGACAGAACTGACTTTAAACTCTGGCTTTCCAGACACTGGCAGTGAACCAGTTACTTAAATTCTCTTTGTTTCAGTTTTCTTCTCAGGAAAAAGGCGAAACTCTTATGAAATAATGTGTGTGAAAGTACTGTACACATGGGAGATGCTTAATGAGCTATTGCTTCCCTTCTCCTAAGGTAACCAGGGGCAGAACCTCAACTATGTTGGAGGCTCTATAAAGGCAGGGATTTTGCCTATGATGTATATCACTACATCGCCAATGTTTAGTATTATGGTTGGCCCATAGAATAAATTTTGGTTGAATATTTAAAGGTGGAGAATTTCATGTTTTAAAATTTTCATCCTTTTTGATGAACAGAGAGGGGGAATAGGAAATGACATTTTCACTGGCCCAAGCAACGGGAGGGCACAGAAACTCTGATTCTAGAAACCTGATGTGGTAGCTATTTATTTATTGACAGTCCAGCATGTGGATATGTCAGGGGTGATCTCAGGTATGCAGAAAGTCAAAGGGTCAGATATTCCTTCTCCCTACTTCCTGGCACCCACAGTACCACTCTGTGGCCTACACTCAACCGATCAGATACTCTTCCTTGGGGCTTGCAATCCTGGGGAGAGATGCAAAGCTGAAAGGTGGTCAAAGGGTACCCCCTGCCACTCAGAGGGTGTTGACACCAGCAGGGTCATTCTCATCAGGCCCTATCTGTCATGCAACTTGAACTGTATTTTTGGCTTCCTGGCACCCCTTAATGCCTATTTGTTTTCCAAGCACAGATTCCCCAAGCTGCTAGTTACTTCTATGGGCTGCCTCCTTGTTTTTCAATACATTTCCTCTCTGCAGTCAATCAAGTTGGGTTCTATCGTTTGCGTCCAATGATTCAGGTTCTAGTCTACTTCTCCTGCCCTTGGCCTTGGTTTCCTAGCATGATCAATTCATTAAGCACTGTGTCTAGGGGTATATTTTAAAGTTACTTTACCACAGTACTCAAAATCAAATCCCTTCTTCAGCTGGGTGTGGTGGCTTGTGCCTGTAATTCCAGCAGGGAATTTGGGAGGCTGAGACAAGAGGATTGTCTGAGCCCAGGAGTTCAAGACCAGCCTGGGCAACATCTATATGAACCCATCTATATCTCTGTGTGTATGTGTGCGACACCATGTCTCTACAATAAATAAAAAAATTAGCTGGGCGTGATGATGTGTGCCTTCTTCGAAGACTGAGGCACAAGGATCACCTGAGCCCAGCAGGTCAAGGCTGCGGTAGCCATGAGCAAGCCACTGCACTCCAGCCAGAGTGACAGAGTAAAACCCTGACTCAAACAAAACAAAACAAACAAACAAAAATCCCTTCTTCAAGATGGTCAGTGTCTCCCATTATTCTTTGATGTTCTTAGCAATTCTACAAAGTTGGCTACACTTTCTTCAATGAAGTAGAACTATATTTTATCTCATTTCCCTTTGTCTCTTTATTTGTTTTCACCTTTCCCAATCTATAAGACTGATTTCTTATTCATCTGTTCTGTTTACTTTGTCCTCATTTTCCTCTAGGGTTCGTGAGCTTTAATAAGCTTGTATTGTGCATGAACTACATAACAGATATTGCACTAGCAACAAGGATTCAAAGATGATTAAGACAGAGTCATCATCTGTGTGAAAATACCAGCTGAAAGAGGAAGATGTAAAGCAGATTAATTCACACACAGGCAGCATAAGCTTTCATGCTTCACAAAGCAAGGAGGAAAATATTAGAGAGAGACATATCAAATGCTGGGATTTGATCCTGTGTGACATCTCTTTCTATAGCAGTGAGACACATTTATTCCAACAATGTTCACTATGCCCTGAGTACGTGCCAGGCACAGTGAGGTGCCAGTGTCCTGGTAGTCGCTCCTTCTTTCTCTCTTGTAGGATGAATAAACATCTTTTGGAGGTATGAGCCCATCTATATCTCTGTGTGTATATGTGCAACAATACTCACTTTGTAAACTGTGAACAACTTGAGAGACATTCTGGAATGTATGGCTACTGTTGACAACAAGCTGCGAGGTTGAATGTGACACACAGTCACTGCTGCTTTGAACTACATTTTTTTAAAACCCATGTTACTAAGTCTCCAAAGAACCACACTGGCACATTTTTTTCCCTTACAATCTCACTGTTGCCTATAATCCATCACTACAAAGAGAGTCCTTAAAAATTACACTCAAGGGAGACATGATTTCCTTTCCAGTTCTCTCCCAGAAAGAGCAACTTATAATGGGGAGGGAAAAGATTGTATTTAGGTTAAAGAAATATAAATAAGCAAATCGCTGCTTCTTTCCCACTCTAAGATTATAAGCCTCAAAAGGATTCTTGGTTTTAAAAAAGGCCATCACCCTTGGCCTGCGCGAAACATTAATATTATATACATGGTAATAAAGCCAGAGGAGTTTTAGTGATCGCTATTAAAGGGCAAAGATGACTGAGAGAGGTTTCTTTGGTAAAAAAGTCACAGGTCCATAAATACAACTTTGTGAGGTTAGTCTTGTGGTTAGCTAGTACTTAAAATTTGTGATTCCCTTGATTATATTGGGTTGACAGGGGAACTATAGACTCTTTCTCAGACAAGTCTACAGTGCTCAAAATTATGACTTGAAAACAGAAATGATCAGAATTCCTAAGGCGACAAAAAGCCTAGCAGAACTGTATTAAAACATTCCTGGGGTTTGGGCATGTGTACTAAATCAGAGGGGGGAATAGGAGAAAATGGCATTTTCTCCTTTTAAAAATTAATCTTGTCATTTAAAACAATTTTGTGGCTTTTATTTTATTAATCGAACAAGATTTTCATTGACCACACAACATTTTCATCAACTTACCCTACAACTAACTGGTGCCAAATGATTGTTTAGTTAATGCTTGTCATCGCATAATAATTTCACCGCTGATGCCAGCAGAAAGTATAAATTTTTAAACATTCGAGCTCTTAAAATGCATCCAATCTAATTTTTTCTCAAGCTAGGGGTTTGAGTATGGACTGCTTTTTTTTTTTTTTTTTTTTGAGTCAGGGTCTTATTCTGTCACCCAGGCTGGAGTGCAGAGGCACAATTATGACTCACCGCAGACTACTGGCTCAGGTGATCCTTCTCCCTACTCCCAAGTAGCTGGGACTACAGGTGCATGCCACCATGCCTGGCTAATTTTTTTTTTTTTTTTTTTTGTAGAGACGAGGTGTGGCTCTGTTGCCCAGGCTAGTCTTGAACTCCTGGGCTCAAGCAATTCTCCCACCTTGGTCTCCCAAAATGCTGAGATGACAGGTATGAGTGGCTCACTGCTGAGCAGAAAATATAAATGGTGTGAGTGGTTCACTGCTCCCTGCCTGCTAACTTAAATAGCTAACAAAAGGCTCAGTGGCGCAGTCCTCAGTGCAATGCTATAAAATCTCTATGTGGCAACTAATGCATCTGCAGGGGACAACTGGAGTTTGTTCAGTGTCTTCTCATCTTTGAATACTGTTTGCACACTGGTCTTGAAGATTCCTTTCTTTTCTAACTTCTTGTGAAGTACGGAAGCACCCACTCCCTGGCTGTGTACAAGTAGCTTTAGTAATATCACTCATAATCTGCGGTTTTCAGAGTCAAGGGTGTTATTTCTCTTTGATGAAGAAGAGGCCTCTGACCATGTCACGTTCTCCCTGTCTTCCTTTATAATGTGATTGACAACTTGAATCCAAAAGGAGCCTTCACAATTAGAAGGAGTTCAAACCACAGCATCTGAACTAACAGCACCCTTCGATGCTCTAATTAGGACTTTCTTATTCCATTTTTATTTCTCAAGAGAGGACAGGGGGCTTTTTAATTGGGGCTATTAGAAGTTCTCTTTACACAATGACACCCTCTGCTAAGTGAAGGCTCCAGCAAAAGCCATGCCCACTCTGCAATTACTCCTTGCAGTTCTGAGGAATAATGGTATCTTGTCTCATTTAAAAATAAATTTGAGGCTTATTCCCATTGCTGTCTCTCCTCTGCCTACTCACATGAATTTCTTCTTGCCAGTTAAGCAAACTTTCCATTACTTAAGGAGGGACTTTTGATTGTAACTATTGCCTGATAATAAGGCATATTAGCCGGGCTCGGTGGCTCAGCCTGTAATCCCGTGCCTTTGGGAGGCTCAGGTGAGTGGATTGCCTGAGCCCGCGGGTTCAAGACCCGCCTGGGCAGCAAGACCTCATCTCTACAATAAATTAAAAAAATCAGCCGGGCATGGTAGCACATGCCTGTAATTCTGGCTACTTGGAAGGCTGAGGCGGAAGGATCGCTGGAGCCCAGCAGGTCGAGGCTGCGGTGGCTGGGAGCGGCCACTGCACTCCAGTCTGGGCGACAGAGTGAGACTCCAACTCAAAAAAAAAAAAAGACATATTAAACTGGATTTCATTTACCCACAGCTCCTTTATTCCAGATACAAAGCTAATTTAAACGAGCTCAGATCTCAGACCATGAGTTTACTCTCTAGTGAAACAATACAGCTTTGGAATTTCCCGAGTGCTGGTCTGTTTGCAGGCCACAGAACTCACCTGAAATAACCCTCATGTTCAATGCTCTCAGTTTCTCAGAATCACTTCCTCGTAAGAGAATAGACCTGGATCTGTCTTTATGACCTATTCCCAGAAAAGAAATTAAATATTTAGAGGACAAACAAGCACATTTTAAATATATACTCCCCATGTCGGTTCAAAGGAATACCAAAGAGAACAGGCCATTTACAACAGGGTCTGGAGTAGCAAAACACAAAGAGCTTTTCCTTATTAAGTTACTTTCCAGGAACAGATACAGGTTCTTTCTAACACTAGAGGCTTCTCCACTACCATCAATTCCATGACACTCTTCTTTCTCATAAAAAGCATTAGCTCTTACGTATAGAAAATTATATAATTTATATTATATACATAGATGTGATGTACATAATATTTAATATATATTTAATATTGAATTATATTTAATATCCTAAGCAGTGTGACTTTTTTTTTTAGTTGGAGTCTCACTCGGTCACCCAGGCTGGATATAGTGGCATGCTCACAGTCACTGCAGCCACAACCTGCTGGGCTCAGGCGATCCTTCTGCCTTAGCCTTCCAAGTAGCAGGAACTACAGGCATGTGACACCTGGCTAATTTTTTTTTATTTATTGCAGAGACAAGGTCTCACCATGTTGCTCAGACTGGTCTTGAACCCCTGGACTCAGCCTGTTCTCTTGCCTCTGCCTCCCAAATGCTGGGATTACAGGCTCAAGCCACTGCACCCAGCAGGTGTGACATTTTTTATAACTTTATGTGCTTGGACTTGCAAGGAAGACTTTGAAGGCCACCAAGTCGTCTTTGTTCATAAGGATTTAACATGGGCCAGGCTCGGTGGCTCAGCCTGTAATCCCAGCACTTTGGGAGACTGAGGTAAGTGAATTGCCTGAGCTCATGAATTCGAGACCAGCCTGGGCAACTTGGCAAGACCTTGTCTCTACAATAAATTAAAAAAATTACCCAGGCGTGGTAGTGCACGCCTATAGTTCTGACTACGTGGAAGGCTGAGACGGAAGAATTGCCGCAGCCCAGCAGGTCGATGCAGCCTGGGTGATGGAGTGAGGCTCCAACTAAAAAAAACAAAAGAATTTAATATGACTACAGATTAGGTGTAGTGGCTCACGCCTATAATTCCAGCATTTTGGGAGGCCAAGGCAAGAGAATTGCTTGAGTTCAGGAGTTCAAGAGCAGCCTGGGCAACATGATGAGACCTCATCTCTACAATAAATCAAAAAAATTAGCTGGGTTTGGTGGTGCCCACCTGTAGTCCCAGCTACCTGGAAAGCTGAAGCTGGAGGATTGCCTGAACCCAGTAGGTCAAGGCTGCAGTAGTTGTGAGCATGCCACTGTGCTCTAGCCTGGGTGACAGTGAGACTTCAACTTAAAAAAAAAAAAATTAATGTGACCCCACACTATTGGTCTCTTCCTAGCCATTTTTTTCTATCTCACTTTGATCTTATAATATGTATACATATGGAAAAATGGGTCAAGAAACTCAGAACTATGCACTATTTACAGATAACACACATTTACTTAAAATAATATAATTTTCAAAACTACAGATACTCTGAGTCTTACTTCTGACATTTTACTAACTGTATAGCTTTGGATAAAACATAACATTTCTGAGGCTCAGGGGTTTTTCGTCTATAAAAAAAATACCATATGCCCTGTTTACAAACCTTAAGAATCTTGTAAAAGTGCTCTGAAAATGGTTATTCTACAAATAAACAGTACTGATTATGTTATTAACCACTACATGAAGATCCTAATTACTAAGGTATCAATGACAACAAGACTTGATGTAAAAGTGCTCTCAGAAATATCTGCAGCAAATACTTAGTCAAAAGAATTAATAGCAACTTTATTCAAACCTGGAGGCAACTGCTTGTTCTGCCTACTGAAATGACTAACACACCCTTGCCAGGTAAAGAATGTAAAAGCCTTGGGAAATAATACAACCACCACAACTATCCTTTATTGAAAACAAATTATGCCCTATGTTAAACTTCTTAAGTAATCTCTTTATTACAATCCATACTTCAACCCTGTGTGCTAGGTCATTATTCTAGTTTTACAGAAACTGAAAGGGACACTCAGATGTGGTAAATAACTTGATCAATGTCATGTAGCTGGCAAGCGGTAGTACTAAGACTCTAAAATAGATCCACCTATTTTGAAGCCTATTCTCATAATGACATATTTGATACTGTACTTAAGAGACCCACTACTCATAAACTGTTCATCAAACCTGACATTCAGCCAGTGTATACATGAGTATATGCCATTAAAGCCAAAATATGCATGGGTACATATCAATAAATTCAGTGTATGCACAAGTACACACCGGTAGCACCATACCACTAATTTGCAATCAATGTCCATCCTGACAGGTATATGGCTGTGTCATATTAGCTGTTAATGTTTTTAACATCACTTCTACTGTCCTAAGTTCCAGTGATTTCTTTTAGCTCTGCCCTGCCAAAAAGTACTGACACCCAACACTTATTAAAGATAAGCTCTACATCCCCAACCTTGGGGAGGTGAGTCTTCTCTCTCCCTTCTCTTTTGCTCTCTAATTTGCTTTTAAATAAAGTTTTCTTTCTTTGAAAAAAAAAAAGATTGGCTCTACAAAAACATGGAACCAACCATGATGCCCATTGAAACTGGACTGGATTAAAAAGATATGGCACATATACACAATGGAATATTATACAGCCACAAAGAAGGACAAGCATATATGGACTTTACAGCAACTTGGATGGTTTTAGAGTCTATCATACTCAGTGATCTATCACAGAAACAAAGAATAGAGTATCATATGTTCTCACTCATAAGTGGAACTTAAACAATTATCATAATACTATAAGAAAGGGGTTGGCAGTAGTGGGAAACTGCCAGGGGAGAGGGGGCACACCTCATCAACAGGGTGCCTGCATAATGAACATTTGAATACCTGACTCTGAGTTGTACCCCACATTCTAAAATTTAAAAATTAAATAATAAAAAAAAGATTGTCTACGGCTCACATTCATCACCTCGAGCCACTCTGTTCAAGATCTTCAACTCTTGGTTAATGGGCACAAACATACTTAGCTAGAAGTCATGTGTTCTAGTATTTAATAGTAGTCATGAGATTATGTATTGTATATTTCAAAATAGCTACAAGAAAAGAATTGTAATGTCCCCAACACAAAGAAGAAGTAAATGTTTGAGGTGATGGATATCCCTGATTTGATCATTACACATGGCACTCATGTATTGAACTATTATCTGTAGCCCCAAAATATGTGTGAGTATTTACCAATTAAACATTTTTTTAAGATTTCCAGCTCCGGAATTGTTTATCACCACTTCCTGTTCTTCTACTTCCCTCTGCCCTCACTTCCATCAAGCCTCTGCTCAACCTCCAGTCACCAATTTCTTCCTATTCACCTTGTCTTTCTCCCTCACCTCCCTCCATTTACTAGTCCAAGTAGAAGTTAGATACATGAAGATCCTTGAACACTGAAACTGCGTCCTGCTTATGCTTTTATTCCTTGAATTATCTAGAATTGCCACATACACACAGTAGGTGCACAATAAATGCTAAAGTGAACTAAAAAAGAAAAAGAAAAATTTGGCTGGGCACAGTAGCTCCTGCCTATAATCCCAGCACTTTGGGAAGCTGAGGCAAGAGGATTGCTTGAGCCTAGGAATTCAAGACCAGGCTAGATAACAGAGAGAGACTTCATCTCTGTAAAACATTTAAAAAATTAGATGCACACCTATAGTCCCAGCTACTCTGGAGGTTGAGGCAGAAGGATTGCCTAAGCCCAGGTGGTTGAGGCTGTGGTGAGTGTGGGGAACTGTGATCGTACCACTGCACTTCAATCTCAACAATGGCGTGAGACCTCAACTCCCAACTCAAAAAAAGAAAGGAAAGGAAAGAAAGAAATCAAATCCATAAATAAGATTAGGAGTTCCTTGACACTAAATGATTGATTTATTTCTCAATACTTACTCTGCCACTTCTGCATTCTCCTGTGGCCTTCAAGCAGCTTGTGAATAATAAGAATGATCAAAAATACAAAAACTAGTAGAACTAAAATGTACCAAGTGATCTTCATGGAACAAGTGACATCTGTAAAGAAAATAAATACTATAAAAATGCAACAAAATTATGCAACAGATAAGAGGCAATGTAGTGGTATAACTGAACTCTACAGTATATTCTGAATTAACTGCAAAGCTGAATACATGAATCACTGTTACAGGGTCACTACCTCTCCTAAATTCTTTCCTGATATTAAATGAGGAAACTCAACCAGGTAGCTTCCAGGGATCTGTTGTATTCCAAAATTCTAGGATTAATTTCACTTACGGGTTTTCTTGATATTATTTTCACTATCATTGCTGTCACTAGGGTAGGACCACAACATAACAAAGTCCTAGAATCAGAGTCATCTTGAATTAACAATTCTGACCCTGGGTCAGGCAGCCCAAAAATATGTCCTCAAATCAACAAAGATGCAGTGAGTACAAGGAGGAGGGGGAAGAAACAGAAAAGCAAGCACAAAGGACTGGCCTGAGGCATGTATGTGTCCAGAGCAGATGAATAATCTGACCACAGGGTAATAGACAAGACAATGACTGGTATATCAATGATCAGATCAGGTGCATTCATTTAATTAAACATAATCACCCTGGCCTAAATTTAATAAAGATACATGGATAAACTTATTCATTCAGACGACAGTAAAGTGACACAGAAAGGATGATCACTATCTAGCAATAGCTTAGAATGGTCCTATAAAGACTAACCGGCTAGCAGACTCAGGACTTAAACAAGGGTGACCTTATCATTTCCAACACACAACTGTCTATTGACCTTCTAAGCAACCCTATGTATTCCCTCTTCCTTGCATAGAAACACAGCTAGTAGTTATTCAACTTAGCAGAATATAGAACTTGTTTATGCCCTAGGGTGAACGCCTTTGTGGGGTTCATGACCCGGATATGCCCTTCACAGGAACCCAGATGTATGCTACATAGGCATTCAACATTTATTAAGAGGGGGTGACTGGAGAAAGGACAGAGGCTGACTGGGATGACAGCACTCAGCTTTCCTAAGATCGTTTCATGCTTCTCAGCGGCAAAGTTTGCTTTCCTTATCCAGAAAAATAAAAGAATGCAATTAAATGGCAGAGAACATTGGTAGTGCCAACAAGAGCTAAGGTGGGCCCAATGACCAAGGTATCACTGGACACTGATATAACCACGAAAAAAGAACCATGCATTCACCAACTTTATATTGCAATAGCAGAATGTGCATGACTGGAACCTGACCATCCACCATAACATCAGCATGGAGTCAGAAGAGTGCATCTCTCTGAGTGAATACGGTTGGGGAGGGTGTAAAGCGGGTTTCATATTTAATATTATCTTGAGATATTTAATATAGTATTAAAGCAAAAGCAAAATAATTATGCAAAAATTTTTAAAAAAACAGCCAGGCTCGGTGGCTCAGCCTGTAATCCTGCACTTTGGGAGGCTGATGTGAGTGGATTGCCTGAGCCCGCGGGTTTGAGACCTGCCTGGGCAACTTGGCGAGACCTCAACTCTACAATAAATCAAAAAATTAGCCGGGCGTGGTAGTGCACGCCTGGAGTTCCAGCTACTTGGAAGGCCGAGACGGAAGGATCGCCGGAGCCCAGCAGGTCGAGGCTACGGTGGGCGGGAGCATGCCACTGCACTCCAGTCTGGGTGACAGAGTGAGATTCCAACTCAAAAAAAAAAATTTTTTTAAAACAACAACAACAACAACAACAAAAAAGAGTGCATCCCCTAGTATCCCATGTGGTCCACCATCCCTGCAGCCATCTTGGAAAGAAGCAAGAGGAAACACAAATTTAGGGGGAAAATCTGAAGGAACAGTGTAAATTATTGTTTCAGAGTAAATTTACCAGACTGTACTAAATTTAGTTTCACTTCCTGATGGAGAGGGCTTTTAAGAGAGTTCAAATTATTAGTCTTTGTACAGCAAACTATGGATAAATCTTTAACTTTATACACATGGCAAAATGGATTTACTTTTCCCAGAATACAAGAGTACATATTTGTGCACCACTGTTATCTTTCTGCGTTGTGGACTTCAAAAAGCTGTTAACTATTATTTCACCTTGAATATAGAATTCTCTTAGAATCATAATTACGAAAGTGCTTTTTTAAAGAAAACTATAAAATGCATTTAAATGGATGCACAGATGTATGACGAAAAATATATCTTTAATAGCTATAATCCAAACTTCTTTATCTTTCAGATTTCACTATAGTCACTTTCTCTTTTAAGTCTTTCTAGAATCCAGTTCCAAGTCACTCATTTCTGAACCAGGGAACTGACCCTCTTTTTGTTCATATAGTCTCGGATCTTTTCCATATCCCCCACACAAACACACGCCTTGAAATAACCTCCAGCTACAGAGTTACAGCCGGGCAAACTAACTCACAGGAAAAATTTCTTCACAGTCATATTTTACCTTAAAAATGCATACACATGGTATACTTCTGTTTGCCTTAAAATAAATGTAGTATTTCAAAAATAATTGCCTTTGAAATAATTAAAGCATTAGAAAAGCATTAAAGCAATCTGAAAGGCTTCTCTGTCTGAAATATCAAAAAGGACAGCAAAGTATTCTACCATAGCACCTGTGACACTGGAATACACTTGCTTGTGTATGTGAAGTGTCTCCCCCTTCTAGATTGTTTAATGTCATCTAACTCTGCGTTCCCAATGCCTGGCACACTACCTAGCATACAACAGGCACTCATTAAAAGAATATGTCATAAGATACACTCTAAGATTAGATTTTGTGGATGAAGTTGGGGCAGACTGCTTAGGAGAAAGGATTAACTGTGGTAATTCAGAATAGGGTAACTAGGAAGTTAACCACCTTAAACAGAATTAAGATATACGAGTACGTAAGATTGCTCTTTGAAACGCTAACTTTTTCCTGAGTCACCCAATGACTTTATGCCTAATTCTCACCTCAGTCTATCTTTACAGCTTACATAGGAAAATCCCACCTCATCCAGACCTGGTTTTTGCTCTAACAGGGGACATGTCAAATTAACTCTAAAAAAAATCTCACCCTTTAGTACCCAAGTGTGTTGGTATTACTTCAAGCACAGTTAATAATAAGCATGTACAAAAGTTATTCAAATCATGACCCATAGATGACTCCTCTGCCTAAGTTTACAAATGGGCCCCATAAGAAGTACATTTGGAAAGAAAAACAGATAAAAAGATTAGCATTCCTTTTCTTATTATCCCTTAATAAAATTCATCAGCTATTTAACTTTTAGTTAATATAGTAGCCCTTACTTAATTTTATGTGTCTATATCTGATCTTTCCTTTCCCTTCTAATTTCTTTAAAAACTTACTTTTTATATCCATTTCTAGATCCAAAGAAATGTGGATACAATTATTCAGGTATCCCATACTTCTACAAGTATGGTTTATAGATTTTTCCTTGGTTGGCTCTTCCTCCATGATTATTGGTTTTCTAGTGTGGGTTTTGGGATTACAGGTAGTGTTATATTCCTCCAAGTGGTCGGTTAGAGGAGCTACAGTGAAGTTAAAATGTTGACAAGGTGAATTAAAATCCTTCTCTTTCATTTCCATTGATCCTCTCATGATAAGAACTAGAAAGAGATTAAGAAAATGTTATTTGCATAGTATCAATAAATAATCAGAAAACACATTCAGAACTAAATCTCTTTTCTATACAAGAAAGTAGAAATAAGAACTAAAAATAATATTTTTTTACTTTTTTTAAGATTATGAAAACAGATAGTGGTAGGGTTGAAATAGGATTGGAGCACTCAAAGAAAATACAGACATTTCTCTGATGACTTGTGGGACAGACTGTATTTTCAAAAGTGGTCACAAGAATATTTCCCGTCTCACATTGTAATAGTTTTCCAAGGCTGTGGAAACAAAGTGCCATAAATTGGGTGACTTCATGAACAAAAATTTGTCTCACAGTTCTAGAAGCTAGACGTGTGAAATCACGATGGCGAGGGTGGATTTTTTCTGAGAGCTATGAGGGACAATCTGCTCCATGCCTCTCTCCTAGCCAAAATGGTGATCTGATGACAATTTCTGGCCATCACAGGCTTGTACATGCATCTCCCTGATCTCTGCCTTCGTGTCTCTGTGCCCCAAAGTCCCCTTTTTATAAGAACACCAATCACACAGGATTAAGGCACTCCCTAATGACTTCATCCTGACAATTACATCTACAATGACCCTATTTCCAAATATTGTCACAGTCTAAGGTATTGGGGGTTGAGACTTCAACATATGACTTTGAGGAGGGCACTATTCAATTCATAACACACACATTATCCTAAAACTTGCTACTCCCTCATTAATAGGTGAAGTTTAATTCCTTTCCCCCCTGAATCTTGCAGGGTTTGTGACTTGTTTATAGCCAGTCAAATGCAAAGGAAATGACACTGCATGACTAAGCCAGAAAAGGTGAAAGAATTTCCACCTTGTTTTTGGAACACTGACATAGGATTCTTGAATCATTGTTTAAAATTCTAACAACATAAGACCACCGTGCTGTAAGGAAATCCAAACTAGCAAACTAGAAAGACGACATAAAGGAAATAATCAACAGAATGAAAAGGCAATCTACAAAATGAGAGAAAATATTTGCAAACCATACAGGGCCAGGTATAGTGTCTCATGCCTGTAATTTTAGCATTTTAGGAGGCCAAGGTAGGAGGATTGCTTGAACCCAGGAGTTTGAAATGAGCCTAGGCAACATAGCGAGACCTCATCTCTACAAAAAAATCAAAAAAATAGCCAGGTGGTTCATGCCTGTAGTTCCAGGTAATTGGGAGACTGAGGCAGGAGGTAGAGACTGTGGTAAGCTGTGATTGTGCCACTGCACTCTAGCCTGGGTGACAGAGTGAAACCCCAGCTCAAAATAATAATAATAATAAAGTAGCCAAACTATTAGAAACAGGAGAACGGTAGTTCCAGGGCCTGGGGGCAGGGAGAAACAGGGAATTGCTGTTCAATGGGTTTAAAATTTCAGTTATATAAAATGAGTAAGTTCTGGCACTCTTTTGCACAACATGGTGCCTCTAGTTAACAATACTGTATTGTAAATTTAAAAATGTGTTAAGAGGGTAGCTCTCATGTTAAGTGTTCTTACCACAATAATAATGATAATAATAAAAGACCACAAAGAAAAACTCGGAGACTAGTGAAGAGAAGGATCCCACCTGCCTCCAGCTGTTGCTCTCCTCTGTTTTCACTCCAACATTTGAGACACCCAAGCCAGAAATGCCCAGCTATGCCCATTCTGCATTCCTGACCCCTCCCCCACAAAAAAAAGAGATAAGAAAAAAATAAAATGATTGCTGTTGGTTTAAGCCACTGAGTTTTGGGGTAGCATATTACACAGCCATAACAACTGGGACAACCTGTCAATGAGCTATTTTTACATTTCAAGAAAACAGACAAGTAACATCTGTGAGCTACCAACCCTTAAAACACTCCCCAGCTCTCTGTCATCAGAGAGGCATTTCCGCAATTTACTTTCTCATGAATTCAACCCAGAACGCTGGAATAGTCACAGCACTACTTAAGTAAGAACTTCAACCAAACTCAAAGCCAAGAAATCTTGTTCCCATTCTCAAACAATAGGGGAAAATGCCAATATCTAGTGATACAGGAGGCAATCTTGCTGAAGAGGTAAAAGCAATAAATTTGATGTTTGGGCTTGAGGCCACTAGCATATTTTATGATTATAAGTGGATTATTTAATTATTCAGTGATCTAATTTGATCCAATTTAATTAAGTAGTATATACTGTTTTCATAATAAATGTAAGGTTTCGTTAGGCACTGCAGATAATACTTTTTTTTTACTTTGTTCATTTACCCATCAAAAATGCATTGAGTGTCTACTATGTGTTACTATGTGTCAGAGATTATGCTAAAAGCTAGATATATAGTAGTGAACAAAGAGGTTCATTGGAGAATCAGACAGAAGACAATTCATATATAGTAGATAAATGTTAGGCAAGAGTAAGTACAAATGCATCAAGAGTTCAGTGATTCCTGGGAGAATCAAAGACTGATTTTACTATGAGTGATAGGGCACGGTGGCTCACACCTGCAATCCCAGCACTTTGGGAGACTGAAGTGGAAGGATTGCTTGAGTCCAGGAGTTCAAGACCATCCTGGGAAACATAGCAAGGCTTTGTCTCTTCAAAAAAATTTTAAAAATTAGCCATCCCTAGTGTCATGCGCCTATCATCCCAGCTATTTGAGAGGCTGAAATGAAAGGATTATCTGAGTCCAGAAGGGTTTAGTGACAGAGTGAGACCCTGACCCAAAAAGAAAAAAATACCACCTTTTAAAAGAGCATATTAGATAATTATTTAACCATCAAATGTATGTGAATTACAGTGAGCATTCTGAGTTTGGGGCATTCAATGTATGTGAATTACAGTAGCATTCTGATGCATTTGAAGAATACATGATTTGTTTTTAATAAATAAAAGTAAACCAAAAACAAATACTACAACATATTTCCAAGTAACAAAACCTGCACATATACCCCTTGAAACTATAAAAAAGAAAAAAGAGTAATATTCAAAAGTCCAGCAAGTCACTCATGAAGAGCCACACCACTAGCTCCTTCAATGCCACTGGATTTTAAAATGAAATATATTATTCATACATTTTTAACAGAACGAGTTAATTTCTACTTGATACATTTTATTTTCATTTTAACTTTGTGTTTACCTTTTGATGTTTGTTCCTGAGAAATAAAAGTCATGTTTCCCTTGGACTCACAAACCAAACACGAGGAGCACATTTTAAATTCACTTGTGATGCCTTGGCAAATCCTGGTGAAGTTTTGCAAACTGGACTGATTTAGAAAGAGTCCCATAATAATCCGAGTTTCTCTTACTGGTTGCAGAAAAGTCACAAATGAAAAATTTATGGAGGAAAGTGAATAGGTGAAATTAGGTTGTAAACATACTTGCAGACATGATAGCTCCAACATTATTTCTGCAAAGAAAACAAACAAACAAACAAAACACAACACTTTCCTTACTATAAAACTTTGAGTTTGGGGCATTCAAATAAGTATCCAATATGTTCTCAGTTTTTCTTAAGCAAATTCAGTACATGTCAGCTTATCAGTGGCAAGATTTTTTTTTTACATGAATTAACAATACCTATTCTATTTAAATGTTTCTTTTTTAAGCTTGTCAACATTCCCTGTTGATTTTCAGAGAACAGATGTTGCTGTAGAGAAGTGCTTGGAAACTAGCATTTTAAACATTCTCTATTCTGGGGGATTTTTAATGGCCAAACTTTACGTTCTTCTGAATCCATCTGTTCCGAAATAGAAACACAAAGCAATTCTATGGAGTTGAACAAGGGATGAAAAACTCGGACAGTTATCTCTGTATTAGTTTTCCAGGGTTGCTGTGACAAGTTACCACAACCTTGGGAATTTAAAATAAGGGAAATTTATTCTCTCAGAGTTCTAGAAGTCAAAAAGGTCGACATTAGTTTTAACAGTTGAAAATCAAGATGTCTGCAAGATCGCGCTCCCTCTCAAGGCTCTAGGGATGAATCCTGTTCCTTGTCCCTCTTCCGGATTCTGGTAGTTGTTGGCAAACTTGACCTGTGTCTGCATCCCTCTAGTCTCTGTCTCTGTGGTCACATTGCCATCTCTTTTGTGTCTCTGTTTTCTACTTTTATGTTTGTATCAAACCTCCCTCTGCCTCTCTTACAAGGACATTTGTGATTGGATTTAGTCCACCAGAATAATCTCCCATCTCAAGATCCTTAACTCACATCTATAAAGACCCTTTTTAAAATAATGTAACATTTACAGGTTCTGAGGATTAGCATCTGGTAACTTTGAGTGACCATTACTAGACGGTGACATCATAATTTGTATTTTTATCTGAAGAGAAACATTAGATATGGAAATGGTGGTATAATGGAAAGAACACTGAGTTTAGAAACAAAAGGTGAAGACTCTAATATTAGATCTGTTATTAGCCAAGACACTTAGACAATTCACTCAATTTCCATAAATCTAGTTTACTCACCAGAAAAATAGAGATAATAACTGGTTAATCTCTTGGAGTTACAGTAGCATCAAGTGGCATAGAACATAAGAAACACTTTTGAAATTTGTACAAATGTATATTATTTAAAATGCAAAATATTTTGAATTAAGTTAATTTTCATCTTTCATTTAGGATAAAATCATTTGTCATTTAATTCATACAATTAATCAAAACTTACTATGTAAAAAATGGGGATCCTTATTTAGCAATAATGATCAACTAAGGAGTAGGTAACCTATCTTTCAGATATTTTCAGTCTGATAATCTTTTGTAGCATAAAAAAATAACTGACATGGATAATTCCAACTTTATGTGGCTTCTTTATTATCTCTCATGTAACCATATGGTGCAAATATATTTCTTAAGATTTCTAAATATTATGAAGCAAAATGAGGGAATTACTTTATTTTTTTTAATGAAGAGTGATTACTCCTAGTCATGTATCTGGGTTCAAACTTGAAAGAAAATCAAACTAGTGATTGATATTACAGTACTTTATTTTGTGGAATTTGTGTTTTAATAGTAATTTCATATGTGTTTAATTAGTGATGATCTTTTTGTTATTTGGTAAATTAAAGGCTTATTGACTGGCCTTCTATATTTAAAATTGCTTTTATAATAATTTATATTTAATTTCCAAGTATAAAAAATTTACTCAAATGCACAATTTTATGATGTCTCAATGTATTTATACCCAAAGTTGTAATCAAATTGTAACTGTAACTTTAAAAATTGCCTTCAGTAATAATGCTCCAGGAAGGATATGGAAATGCACCATCTGATAGAATTCAATATTCTATAACTTTTTTAATATCACTAAAATACATGAAAAACTTATTTCTTGCCACCTTTCCAGTTTCTTCACTAGGACTTTTCATTTTATGAAATTTTCAACTTCTTGAATTTATATTGCTATGATATGACCACGAAGAAGATAGAGCAATTTTCACTGTCAATATTGCAGGCTTCTTATCTAACAAGTGACCAACTGAGCTTTCTAAAACTGATGACATATCCTTTATATTTGTCTATGAGGTCATTTTATTCTGATTTTTAAACCTCAACTTTAAATAATTCAATTGGAAATGGAATAAATAGAAGACACATCCTTCCTTGGTATTATTTTAAGTAATAAATATACTCAATCATTTTTGCTATCAGGTGGGCTATAGTCTCATCTCCATAAACAAGGATGTATAAATTTAATTACTGGCATTAATATTGATGGGAGTCCAGCATCTAAATTCTCATTCTCAGAAATGCAAATGCATTCCAGAATTACTCCAATGCTAAGACTGCAACCTCTCAGAGAAAGTATACAGAATACAAAACAGAATCAGAAAAATACATAACAATATAGGACAAATGTCCTAGTCAATTATTTTCTCTTTTTAAAGAAAAGTAGATAGTAATAATTTAAAAATCTACTATCTTTATTTTTAATGCCTATTATATATGTATATATAATATGTGCTTAAATACATATGTATATATTAAAATGCATTGTGTCAGTTAAAGGATAATAAAAATAACTAACACCCATGTACCTAACACTCAGATTAAGAAACAGGATATTACCAATATCTTTGAAACTCCCCACTCCTTCTCACTCCTATACCACAGAATGTTTTAGAAATATATACATATTTATATGGAATATATTGTATTATTCTACTGTGATTTGCTTTTTTCAGCTTAATATGTTTTAGTCACATTGATGACTATAGAACTTATATGTGGTATCCTTATGAATGAATATACTACAATTTATTTATTCATTTTTCTGACGGTGAACATTTGTGTTGTTTCCATTTTTTGCTGTTATGAATAATGTTGCTATGAACTGCAACTCATACATTGCTGGTGGGAATGTAAAATGGTATAATCACTTTGGAAAACAGATTTTCTTATAAGTTAAACATATACTTACCATATGACCCAAAAATTCCACTCCTAGAAATTTACACAAAAGAAATGAAAACATATGTCCGCATAAAGACTTGTACATGAAATTTTATGGAAGCTTTTAAAATTTATGGTAGCCAAGTACTGGAAATAATTCAAATGTCTAACAATTAGTGAATACATAAACAACTCCTGATGTAGCTATATAATGGAATACCACTCAGCAAAAGCTTTTCAGTTTGATGAGGTTCCACCTCTGTATCTGAGCTTTTGTAATATTTGCTTTTGAGGACTTGGTCATGAATTCATTGCCGACTCCAGTGCCCTGAAGGGTGTTCCCTATATTTTCTTCTAGGATTCTTATAGTTTGAGGTTTTACATTTAGGTCCTCTATCCATTTTGAGTTTATTTTTGTATATGGTGATAGGCAGGGGTCCGTTTTACTCTTCTGCATGTGGTTAACCAGTTTTCCCAACACCGTTTGCTAAATATGGTCTTCTTACCCCAGTGATTGTTATCAGTGGCTTTGTTGAAGATGAGTTGATTGAGGGACCATGTTTTTGCTTCAGAATCTCTGTCCTGTTCCATTGGTCTATGTGCCTATTCCTGTATCAATACCATGCCCTCTTGATTACTGTAGCCTTGTAATAAAAGTTAAATATAAAAGTGTGATCTCTCCTGCTCTGTTCCTTTTGCTGAGAATTATTTTGGCTATTTATGCTCTTTTTTGTTTCCCTATAAATTTCTGTATTGTCATTTTCACATCTGTGAAAAATGATGTTGGTAATTTGATGGGTATAGCATTGAGTGTAATTGCCTTGGGTAGGATGGACATCTTGGCAATACTGATTCTTCCAACCCATGAGCATGGCATGTTTTTCTATTTATTAGTATCATCCTTGATTTATTTGAGCAGTGAAAGACCTTTACAACAAGAACTACAAAAAACTTTTAAAATAAATTTTCTCCAATATGGTCTTATATTATCATATGTTACATTTTCTTCTGGGCATCTTACTTTTTGTTGCTATTGCCAATAACATCTTTTAAGAAATGTATTTTTTTGTTCGTTAGTTTGTTTCAGGTCTTTCATTTAAATCTCTAATCCATTTCAAGTTGGTTTTGTAAATGGTGTGAAATAAGTCTACTTACATTCTTCTGTACTTACTCATACTTTTGGATGCCACTGTTTGTTTGTTTGTTTGTTTGTTTGTTTGTTTATTGAGTCAGAGTCTCACTCTGTCACCCAGGCTGGAATGCAGTGGCATGCTCACAGCCACCACAGCCTCGACCTACTCACAGCTTAACCTTCTGACTTACCCTTCCAAGTAGCTGGAACTACAGGCATGCACCAACAAGTTCAAATAATTTTTGTATTTATTGTAGTGACGAGGTCTCACCAAATTGCCCAGGCTGGTCTGAACCTGTGGACTCAGGCAATCCTCTAGTCTCTGCCTTCCAAAGTGCTGGGATTACAGGTATGAGCCATTGTGTCTAGCCTTTTATTTACTGAAACAAACGTGTTTTATACTTTATATCTCATAATTCCAATACCTGAATTCTTTGAGGATCTGATTCTGCTGTTTGTTGCTTCTGTTGACTCTGGTGTATTGAGACTTCGTGTGTTTTATGATTTTTGATAATAGCTCCTGTTCCTAGGAATTTCATTTGAGAAATTATTTGAGGCCTGGTGTGAAGATGTTTTCCTCCAGAGAAGATTGAATTTTCTCAGGTGAGTGTCTAATGGCACCATTCACCCAAAGTCACTTTAAATACCTTCTTGGATTGGACTTTTCACACCTCACAGGTAATGACCCTCACTATCTAAATTATGACCAGCTGTGTTTACAAACTCTCAGGGAGGCTTTTTCTCTACTCAACATATAGCCAAAGTGGAGACAGACAATTTTCCTCACAACCAGACAGATTTTTTTCCTAGAGTCCTGCTTTATGGAGCATATCACTTTTTAGTATCTCAGTCTCAGGCTTTGCCTTTTGTCCCCCAATGTGTGGCCT